GTGTATTTCTGCTAAAAAACTTAAATCATCAACCCAGTAATGATACTTGACGTCATAAGTCTCAAATAACAACAAAATACGTTAACTGCGACTGCTGAAGCTATGATATTCGTCACGGTGCATTTCCATTATGCAACTACAGTGCTAACTAAATCAAGAAACCAGTAATCGGCCAATGGTGTGCATCCAATAGAAAATGTTTGATGTCTAATATAAGACACCTTCAAATCACCATATTATACTTATAAAGGAAATATATTTTATGAAAGTGTACACTAATATTAGATTGGACAGTTTAGTAGTGACGCTAAATGCTATAGTGCGATTGAATGTATTCTATATATCGGAGATGGTTAGCATTTTCTTTGACAGTAATCTTACCAAATTCATAGGACTATTTAGTCAAATAAAAGTTTTCCTAAGACTTAGATTATGATCGGACAGTTTGTATAGGTAGCTACTTATCTAGAGTTAGTCTGAACAATTTTTAAGATTTCTTCTCCATTATTTAGAATATTCCAGTTAGCGAATTTCATGTAAATATTTTGTCATAAAACGAGTTTTCCATACAAGGATAGATTTTAACTCCCGCTAAGAAAATGGAAAATTTTCTAAATCAGGAAGATATTGGTTTCACCCCATTTGCGAAATCGAGGTTCTTAACAGATCTCGACAGTTTTAGGGTGAGGAAGCTTCCCCAACATTTCACATACGATGATGTCCGTATGTCTGTATGTTGTGGGATGTATGTGTTTGTGTGGATGTATGATGACCTCTTATAACCTTAAACGGCAACCGATTTGAATAAACTAAACGGCATTCAAGGGTTTCATTGCACGATTTCGATGTTTGATTTGGACCCAATCGGACCATATGAGTAGAAATCTCAAAAAGTAAAATTTCCTTCAAACGACTTGACGATCAACGCAAAACTAATCAGTTCTAACTTATGAAGAAACCCATCGTTTCCGCAAACCAGGTCAAATCAGTTGATTTACTTGCAGATATGCAAACGAAAATTTTGAAGAGCTCAAAAGCGTGAAAAGCGAAATTTAGAACGTTAGCGTATGAAATCTTAGGGAAGTTGCAGGATGGCCCTTAGAGAGGCCAACCGTTTTCCACATTTTATGAATTGTCCCATCCCCATATACGGTTCAACAAATAGCTAGTTTCTTGAAGAAAGGAGGAAACTAGGTAATAGTTCGCGTATATACAAATAGACATGGATGAATTGACTCACATCTTGTCACGCTAATCAATTATATATATATGTATAACCTAACAGGGCGTTCTTCTGGGTGTATACAAACTTCTTAGCAAACTTTATATAATCTGTTCAGGTTTAAGCAGGGATACTAAAAGTTCCAGTCTTGAGTTAGTGAAAATGAATGATAATAAACGTTTATGGTCAGTTTTGAGATGATTCTGTTATAATAATGCTGATCTTACTGAGAAAATATTCAGAAAAGTGTCGACATTTGTACGACAGGTAATAGAACTATTATAGGTTGAGCCAAGAACGCTTCTTAGGCAAATATGTTTATAAATTACATACTAGTATTACATAATAAAAATAATTTCAAAATTTAATAATTTCGTTTACTTTTTGTTGGTTTGTTTTGCTGTACATGTATATACGTTGCAATGAAATGAGCTGCTATTACAAATATTTAATAACAAACAACAATGTGTAGAAACATTTTGTATACCTAAGCAATCATCTTCCAAAAATATATATATGTATTAGTTGATATTATATTTGTTAACTGTGAATATAAAATGTTACAAGTATTTCACAAATATGCGTTAAATGTGCTAACAGTGCAGTGGATGAATGTGGTGCAGATGTATACATATGCTTATGTATATCTTTATGGGCGTTGACGTACGATTTGTGCCGAGTGTTTCAAAACTCTTCAAAATATATTTTATGTAAAACTTTATATGTTCTTTCTTTATATATTACACTTTATTTATATTTATTTATTTTAATTCTTCATAGTACAATATAATTGTCGATGAAGAACGCAGTGCTAATGGAGCTGTCTAGCCAGTCTGTTATCCCTAATATTTGCTTGCCAATCAATATACGATTATATACGAAAATATATTATATGTTTATAATTCTCTTTATTTGCTTTTACTTTATATCTAAAAACGACCGAACAAATTTTCACTTTTCTCGTCCTTAGACTTGCAAGCACTTTTGTTTTATTTGGTTACTTTTAATTTTTATTTATAACTTTCTTTCAATCTTCTTTAAGCGCTTCTCTCCACTAAATTTAGTATTTTATTATCTTATTTTTATCACTACCTTCAACGCGGTTTGCTGTTTCTGTGTTGCTGCTGGCCTTGAAAGGAAGTAGAAAATTAATTTTCGCGTGCTTCACAATGACAATGCTGTGGAAATTATTAAACCACTTATCAACTTTGCGTTTTATACACTCAGTTACAAAATATCTCATTCACCAGTGACACAATTTTCAACAAATTAGCTAAAAATACTTGCTTTTAGAAACAATTTTATAATAATTTATTTTAGTTGTAAATTTTCGTATTAAAAATTATATTCATTGCATTGGAAGTGAAACCTGTAAGTGAAATAATATCGACGGATGTAAGATTTTCAAATTTGCAACCAATGCTTTCGAATTTAAACAACAAAATGAATATCAAGTGTTTTTCAATACATAATACCAGAAAACAAAATAATACTCAACACGAAATCGTCTTGCCTCGGTGTGACGGCATTAATTACGTCGATTTACAAATTGCTCGTATGTAGTAAACATACAAACATACATAAAGTAAATCAATCAAACAAGTTAAACAAGCATAAATGTGTAAATATACTGAATAAATGGAAATGATATGGCAAATACACAGGTTGAATATGAAATACACTGTAGTTCGCAGAATTATAATGAGTATGTGTAATATAAATGAGTAGTACAATGAACCAAAATAAGGTATTCGATATAAAAATTATAAGTTTTGTAACAAAAAGTGATTCACTTAAAATATGAATATTTTATTTCAATTTATTACGACTATGTTCTGTTCACCTAGTATTTTTAATAAAACAACAACTTTCGTAAGATAATGAAAGTTAAAAAGTAAAAATAATGAAATTTTGGAATGCAGCAGTAGAATCCGACTTTTTAAAGTTTCAGGGTTGTAAACAGATGCGACTTGCAACCGAGGTCTTGCAAAAATAAGAAAACAGCTAACTTCGGCTGCACCGAGCTAATACCTATTCACAGTTCCGTTTCTTATAGCATAAATAATAGTACATCGCATCATTAGCAGTTTTGATCTGGTCAGCGTGTGCGGCATTTGGTGTAATCAGTTCGATCTGAACAATTTCTACGGACGGACAATCCATGCCAAATTTCGTGAAAACTTGTTAAATAAAAATATTTTATTTACAATCGGTTCCGATCCAGAGTAGTTTAGTTCACTTGGAAAGGATGTGTGCAAAATTTCAGATAGATATCTCATAAACGGAGAGACTTCTAATTCGCGTATATAAAGATGGACACACATTTTAAAAAGTAGCAACAATGTCAGCATAGAGCATTTTAGCCGAATTACATCAAGCACAGGTGTGTGACTTTGATAAAGTACAAAACAAATGCTCTAAATGTAGGCACATTTATTTTAATTTCTCTTGGTAAGAGTGGTTGTAATATAATTGTTCAGAGGTTAAGTTAAGAATATTTGTTAAGAGATTTTGTTAATTGGATATTCTTGTCTAGAGATTTAAATTTCAAGCGTTTTTGACAACTGATACTTTTATTATCCATTCCTTTTAAATACATTATTTCGTCCTTATAGTAGAGGGAGGAAAAGATTACGTCTTCGTAGTAGTGATTTCTACGCTATATAAACTAAAACAGTAACATGTCTTGATTAGTACAAATGTTAGTATCAGTGTAAAAAGTAGTTGAACAGATACACGTATAAGTTTAAGTTAAGACATAACAGGTCTTGTTGCTACCACACTAAAACGATTATAGCTTTGACAATAATTTGAATGCTGTATGCTCTTACGACATTTTGAGCACCTAAATTTCAAATATGAAAACCATAATTTCGATTTTTAATATCTGAACTAGAATCCCACATAAAATTATGAAAATAGTATGAATATATTTCTAAATTTATTTGAGTACACAAACGTTAAAGTGAAGGTATGTACTAATATAAAAATGAAAGTATTTGGAATTTATTTTTGTTGTGAGATCCGGTCTCTTTTCATCGATTGTTATCAAATTACTAGACAAATTGTTGTTGTTTCATCGTAGAATCAAAACTTTCTTAAATTTTGCGGTATTAAATCATCAGCATCAGGTAAACCTTAGATAAAATTTTACAAATATACCCCAAGTTCTGAATAATTCAAAATTTATAACATATATACTTTAGGGTGAAATCATATATTTTAAATTGATTAATATTGGCTTTGGGCCATGAATTGGGGAAAATAATAACACTTAAGACAGAAAATTCCTAACAAACTTTGTAAAACAGATTTCCTATGAACATTGTTGGCTTTTAAAATGATGCAAGGTATATATATATATATGAGCAATACGTAACTG